TGTGGCCGAATTTGTATTGGCTGTGGTCAACATCAATGGAGGAAAGAAGCTTTTCTGAAGCCTGTTTGCTGTCAGTGGATTGGTCATCTGGAATGGCTGAGGCATTAAGTATCTTGTACCTGTGGTAAGACAGGTTGCAAGGACTGGCTGCAGACAGGGTGAGGAAAATATGATCCACCATATATCATAAAATATATAGAAGCTGAGCTATTTGCAAGCAGCTGAATATACTGTCTGAAATGAGACAGTCTTGCCTGAATGGAATGTGATGACAAGGGGACATGTCTACTCCTCAGTGGAATCTTGGCTGTGTAACAACACAGTATGTTGTTACATACAAAATTAATGTGCATACTGAAGAGTGCCTGTAGGCCCAGGAGTTAGGAAGAACATGGTGAGAGTATGTCAGAGTCTTCTCATCTTGTTTCATTGATCAGAGGAATGCTACTCAAAGCTGAAGGTGAATTAAAACTATTACTCAAAATCAGCTATATTCTAAAGGGAATATAGATCTCGCACAGCTCACAGCTCTGTAAATTGTAGCGCTGAATCCTTGAGTTTGGACTAAAAATAGCATTGTATTATTCTTTAAATGCTAAGAGCAGTTTTAGCATTTTGTAAGGGAACTTAATGATTAAGGTAATCCTGTGTCATGGAAAGGACTCCCTTATCCTTCTAAAGGGATTTCTTCAGGTACATTAATGAGGATGTGTGACTCTGCACTGGAGCACTTCTTATTCTCAAGTCTAGTTTGAAAGAGAATATGTAAAACTGGGACAGTGATAGTTGTGCAATGAATTTATTCTCTATTTTAGGCTTCCACTGTAGTTCCTCCTGAACTTCAGCCCATTTACTTTGAACCATGAAGCACTTTGTGGTTCTGAGCTATGGCCATTATAGATAGATTCCTTCAGCTGTCACATCAAATTATGATTTGAGAATTGAGAGCAGCTAATGTCATATGGAACATCAGGTTGCAGGGCATTTTAAGAGAGGTCTTGGGTCCTTTTCACACCATTTCAACATGGGAGATGCTACTGTCACATTTAAATGTAACAGCAGCCAGTTCTGATTCAGTTCTTTATAGCAACTGAGCTAATATAAACCTGTTTAATTGTCTCCATTTTAAAGATGAGAAAAACAAGGCAGAGGATGCAGGCCAGTGACAGAACACTGGGAAATCCTTGAAGTTTTGCATGCTTAGTGCATGGTAAGGAGGCTGTGCTGAAGTGTGTTGTTTTTGTACCTATTCTCTTGGAGACTTACAAAGATAGTCTTTAATGCCACATAATTCATTACACTGCAAGTATTTTGCATCTCTGAATCATCAGGCATTGACTCCAGTTTAGAAACTATACTGGTTCTGAATAATCAAAGAATCTCTGGTCTGATCGAAGAAGGAAAGACTGGGGTGATCTGACAGTATTTATTCCTTGGTTCCCTCAAATGCCTCTAATCTAGTCTGATTCAGAAGGTTTCTCTCAGTGATGTCACCAGACTTGTCACCTGAGCTGTGGGTTTACTGAGGCCTTATCTTAAAAGACAGTAATAACTGAAGACCTACCGTTGCTTGAAGTCTGTATAAAGGATTCTGCTTGGAAACCCTTTTCTGCAAATTCGGATGCCTTCTAGAACTCCATTGCACCGCAGCTGATGCATCACCAAGAAATGGTCCATTTCACCTTTAAAAAAATGCATCCATCATGACTCTTCCTTTCTTCCAAAGAATCCCCATATGTTTTAGCATTCTAGAATGACCTCCTTTTCTTTTTTTTTTTTTTTTTTTTTTTTATAAAATTCAACCAGTTCTTGATTAAAGATGCAGGAAGTGGACAGAGAACACGTCTTCAATTCATACAAGTTGCAGAGATCTTACTAAGAAGAGCAGAGTTTGTGAATTGCCAATGGCCCATTACAAATGTCAGGACAGTGCTTTAGGAGACCAGCTGAAAGATCTTCAACAGCATCAGCATCCATATTACGTGTTGGTAGAGGTAGCACAATGCAGAGTGTAGTGCCATCTAGAAAATCAGCTCTTCATTTTATGTACCTCACATTATACCTTGGATCTGCCATACAAATATTAACTATACTCAAACTTGATTAGATTTGGTTGCTAGACAGATTCCAACACAGGAAGGGATAAGTAGGTTGCTTAAAGCTTTCAGTCTGCCTGCAGAGGAAAGTTGATTTAAGTTGGAAGAATTATCTTTCTCCTCCTAAAGTATCTATTGGATGTAATAATCAACTGTATTTCAAAGTCTTATTCTCAAGCGTTACAAAGTACAATTGACAAAATAAAAACCTCTTGGAATCACTGTGTCCTGCAGAAATTTCCATCAGCTGCTAGAGCCTTTAATTAGTACAGTGTGGTCCATACTCTTAACTTTATCTTTTCAGTGTAATCAATAAAGGTGTACCCAAAGAACTTGTTAGAAAAGTTGAGCATAAGCGGCCAAAACCCAGCTAAAAATCAGAAGATGTCCAGCTTCTGTCCCTTCACTTCACCATCCTTAATTTTGCTCACACAGCACTACTTTTCTTTTTCTTAAAGGGCAAACATTAAGTTTACCTCTGAGTCATCTGTCAAAACAACCAAGCAAACATTAAAATGACGGCAATATCTAGCAAAATAATTCACTCAAATATGCTTTTCTATATTAGTAGTTAATTCCCCCCTTACATCTGACTATCAAGACCCCAGTGGGATTCCTCTTTCTTCACTTAGGATATGAAGTGTGGACATTTCCATTTGGGCTTCATTTATAGTTAGTGGAGTGAAAAAGTTTCTTCTAGGATGTGATTCATCTCATCCTAAGGTAAATGTATAAAAGAGGCCATATGAGTCAGATCTTAAAATGTAAGCTTTTGTCCACTGAATGTAGAAGGAGTTTAGATGTATAGCTGAAATGTGAATGTCATTCATATATGTGTTGCTTAAATCCTGCTTGTGGTTTTTGCGGTTAGACAGAGACATAAACAAGAAAGGTAAGGAACATTCTGAAATTGGTCTTTTGTTTCCTGAGCAGATTATACAGACGCTAAGCTCCTGTTTCCTCATAGTCCTGTTGCATCTGCTACATTCTACCAGTATCTACCTTATCATTCTACCAGTACTGGTAGGACAAAAGGAAATGACCTCAAGCAGCTAGATTTTAGGAAAAAATTTCTGGTCAGGCATTGGAACAGCCTGCCCTGGAGTGGTAAGTGATGAAATCACTGTCCCTGGAAGTGTTCAAAAACTGTGTGGATGACATGGCTTAGTGACATGGTTTAGTGGTGGCCTTGGCATTTCTGCGATAAAGGTTGGACTTGATGGTCTTAAAGGTCTTTTCCAACCTAGTTGTTTCTATGATTCTATAACTCCTAAAACCCACACATGCAAGTCTTTCCCCAAGTACTTTTATTTAGTGGTCACACGAAAATACTCCCAAACTTGACTGTGCTCAGAGACGACATTCTTCATCAGAGTTTAATATTTAATTATATAGACGAAAAAAGAAAGGAAATTTATATCAAAATGTTTTCCAAGAGCTAGGAGCACCCAGCAGCTTGTACATGGAATTCTGCAAGTGAAATATAATTTCTTTGACAGTCTTCCAGCTCAGTGAATCAGATCATACCACTGAATATTTAGAAACTGCTAAGTGGTCCTGGGATGAACCCAACAGTTCTGAATGACGCGATGGTCCTTAAAACTAGGCACTTTTTTAGGGATTTGCTAATGCTATTACCCACAACACACCATGAGCCATGATCAAGCCCATCGTAATCATCTTCAGTGCTGTACACACATTAAGAGAAGATAAGTAATTGCTGTGGACTGTGTAAGGCTCAAAATTTCACGCTCACTGTAAACAATACAAAAAGATCTATTTGGGCACTGTCCTGCAGGCCAATCCCTACAAGAACTTCACATACAAAGGGAGCTGTTCTGAGAGAAGTTGATGTAGAAGCTAAGCAGGCCAAGTCCCATCAGTCCCATGTCTTCAGAGTTAAATGATGGACTTACCAGGTGTTTTGGTCTCATTAGGAACCAGGCATCGCACAAAGTGAGGATGGGTACTTCTCAGGTTAGTCATCAACTTATTTAGATTTTCCTGTGATAGACAAAACATGGGTTTGAACTTTGAGTCACAAAGCTTTTACATCTTTATTGAAATGTCAAGGAGTTACAGAATCACAGAATGGTTTGGATTTGAAGGGGCCTTTGAAGTTCATCAGGTCCAATACCCCTTCCACGGACAGGGACATTTTTCAGTAGACCAGGTTGATCAAAGCCCCATCCAACCTGACTATGAATGCTTCCAATGATGGGGCAGCCACAGCTTCTCCAGGCAACTTGTTCCAGTGTCTCACCACCCTCACTGGAAAGACTGTATTCCTTAAGTCCAGTCTAAACCAACCCTCTTTCGTTTTAAAACCATTGACTCTAGTCCTGTCACTAGAGGCGCTGTGAAAAGTCTTTCTCTGTCTTTCTGATAAGCCCCTTTTATATACTGAAAAGCTGCAGTAAGGTGTCCCTGGAACCTTCCCTTCCCCAGGCTGAATTACACTAACTTTCTTCATAGGAGAGGTGTTTTAGCCCTTGGATAGTTTCTGTGGAAGCATGGCTCATTTAAAAGGAAACTTACATACCCTGAAAACAGCAGACACCGTCTGGAAAGAGCCACCCTTCTTCTTACCACCCTTCTTGCCACCAGAATTATCATCTTATAAGAAGTAGATAAGAGGTGAATGGTTAGAGTAAGCAGTATGTTTTGTAGGCCTCACTTTCCTTTCTTTGGTCATAGGCCAATGAAATAATTAACTTTTAGTTTTAAATACCCACTGCTGCATGAGAGTTTTAGTGAACTGCTGCTAGCTGGTTGTTGATCAGTGTATGGTAAATTTGCTCTCAGATGCATGATTTAGGTTGCATGGTAATATACATGGCTTTGGTGGTATATAACTCCTATGGCCTGACATAAGTTTCATAACGATACACTCCGTGCTTCTAGTCATTTTTCTTCTACTCATAGTACCAGTTATTATTTTTTTATTTGATTAGATGAAAAGCCACAAGAATGTGGCTCAGCAGTTGACATTTGTTCATCAATACAGTGAACTCTTCATTAGAAACATCTCCTAATCCAGTCTTCCAGGTGAAAAAATAGGGATCTGTTCTGGTTTATGGCATCCCTGTGGCAGGAAACAAGTTACAGCCTCAGGAATACAAATCCAAGCAGCTCAGTGCCTTTTAATATTTGCTGCACCATTGAAGCCAATTAAATTGAGACTTAAATGAAGTCTTTGTGCTCCTAATTTCACACTTTATCCAAAACTTTATCTTCACAACCTTTTCCTCTCACCTTCCTTATATTGATGATACCTGCAAAGACCACAGCTGACACATCCTCAGTATTTCCTAAGAGCTTGTCTAGACACATCGTTATCTCAGCCAAACTGGTCTGCAGGAAAGTTCCCATGCAGTACCCTCTTGAACCTCAAACCCTGCTGTCCCTATGCCTGATGGCTGAGTTGACTACTGCTGTATACTGCCTCTTCTTTTTGCTCAGCATTCAGGTTGCCAGAATACTGAGAGGTTTTTGGTAGAAATCTGCATGGCCATTTTTGATAAAGCAGACCTGTTGACTGTCCAAGTTGACGGTCTTCAGCCACAAAAAAGGGCAAGAGACTGGACTGCTCTCTGATGTCCTTAGAGGACTTCTACATTGTATTCTCTGTCTCTCTCATTTTCCCTTGCAACACCAGCAGGACTGCTTGGCTGGATATGAAATAGTTCCACGGTCTCCTTTTAGTTCTTCTAGTTCACCTCAATAAACAAAACTGTCCCCAAAGATGGTAAAGTTGCTTGCACTTTACAGGTATAATTGGTACGTGTCTAGAGGGTGACTAAGTATGCACATGATTCACAACATAGTGAGTCACTTTGTGTTGGACTCACTGTGTTTTACATGAATGTGGTGTTTTCAGCAGTTCTGCATGTTGATATCTTAATTTCAGCATAACTGGGTGCACACAAGAACAAGGTCACCTTGGGGGAAGATAGGGAGTCTAAAGTATACCACAGAGACGATAAGAAGAAGTAGACTTAAGTAGGCTCTTGCCTTATTGATCATTATTGACAAAGCACTTACTTGTTTCTGCACTCGCATAGTTAGAGAAAAGGAAGGACAGCAGCTTCAAGGATGATTTCTGGTACAGCTCCACAACAGTTTCATTCAGGGGGTCCTTGTTCTTGTCAAGCCAGCCAGCGATGTTGTAGTCCACTGTGCCAGCATAGTGTACCAGAGAGAAGTGAGCCTCAGCCTTGCCTTTGGCAGGCTTTGGCTTCTGGAAGTTTTTGTTCTTGCCCAGATGTTGGTCATAGAGCTTGTTCTTGAAAGAGGTATCAGTTGCCTTGGGGAACATGCACTCCTCTTCCAGGATGGAGAAGATGCCCATGGGCTGGGAGGAATATGAATACATGAAGAAAGTAAGTGGTGGGGAGAGGAAAAGTAAATAAAATGTCACCTTCCATATAATTTGTGCCTTGTTTCAGTGACTGTAATTTATACTGCCTAAGTTCTTAATGCACCACTAGTTACTATAATAATCAGGCAAACTATAATTAGCCTGTGTTGCTCAAGCTGCTACCCATGAATATGGCAACTCGACAATACTGTTTGCAGTATTCAAAGATACATGCATCTTTGAATGAAATACTATAGATACATATTTTAATCTATTGTTATGATCATAATTACCCTACATCATTAGGAAGTAGGTTTCAGCATCCTGTTTGTGGACCTCATGCTGTTGTGTATGTCTGTTACAAGCCATCAGGTTGCAATTGTCAACATGAACTTAATTTGATGGCTCCTCAGGAAAGTGCAGATAACTGATACCTACCAGCTCTGGTTTTGTCTCCAGTGAATGTGCATGATGGATCAAATTTTCCCCACCGTATATGGAATGTAAATGACAACCTGTCACTTTAGAATACCCATAGACTTTTAATTTGTCTCAGAATTGCATTTGCGATGAGAAGTATTCCAATACAGAGATAAAGGCACATTCACAGAGCTTTCGTTGGAGCTACATTAGGTATCTTCTGATAGTGCAGATAAGCACATCCTCTGATACCAGTGGAGACAATGGTGTGATCTGTACTTCTCTGGCCTAGAGAGAATTCTAGGAGTTCCTTCTTTGTATGAAACTTTTTTTTTATTAATTTAATTTAATAAGATGCCAGGAGATGCTTATATCTGATTTCAGCTAGATAGCTGCCAGAGCTAGAATCAGGGTTCCTCTAGAGCAGCAGCAATCACAGAAGGTGGACGCTGGGCACGAATGCTATGCTTTGAATGAAGATTTTGCTGTCTAGGTGTGGCTGCTGTATGAGACCTCTGGGGTTAGCATGCATCTTGCCTAAGTGTTGTAGGTGTCTATAAAACAGAATCTAGATCTGAGCTAGCTGTCCAGATTGCTCTTCTATTATGGAAGACATTATAAAGACATTTCACAGAATCCCTAACAGAATGTACTAGATGATTTGCATCCTAGAATTGTCTGCTTCTTTCCTGTAATTACAAAAGATTCTACAACATTAGATCAGCATAGGTGTTCTGCTTCCTCTGGCTCCACTACTGTGCATTGCATAGATAGGGGACACAAAATGTGTGGCCACTGAATGCTTAGTGTGGATTTGGGGTATTAAATACAGTAATAGGCAACAGGCAGTAGCTGTGAATGGTAGTGCTGCCTGTAGATGCTGCTATGTGGTGGGAAGTGTGGGAGGTTAGCAAGAAATGTGTCTCGTGCAAAGGCGTAACTTATGGAATGAATATAAAGCAGTGAACACACATGTGGGATGGCTGTATCAGTCTTTGGGCACGGGGCATGAATGACAGTGCTGGGAGCAGAAACCTGTCTGCTCCTGAGAAGGAAGACATTTGCATATGTGCATATTGGATTTGCACATGATGTGTAAGAGCTATGCACAGCCACTGAACACTGGCTTGTAACATAGCAGTGAGGGGTTCATTCCCATTAAGATCCCCAGTGCAGTGGCAGCGAGCAGTGACAGAGGGGCCAGAAAGGGCTGTGTTACTAGAACCAGAACTTCTACCCATTAAAGCAAGTAGTAAGACTTTAGGTTCACCTTACTGTGAAAAGGCAGTTTTGTTAAAGGCACCAAGTTAACATCATGTACCCTCTCTCCCTTCCACCCCAGCTATGTTGTTCAGGAAATCATTTTTATTATGGAGGTAGCCTGTCTTTGCAAAAGCTTTCGGTTTATGAACTACCTTTTCTTATGTTAGAGGGTCCATCTGATCCATCATGCACATAATTCAACATTAATGTGCCCATTTATTAAGAATGGGCACACTAAGAATGACTGGACTAAAATAAATGATCATGAAAGAAATGTGCTCTCCTAAAATGAAAAAATTTCCTCTACCTTCTCAATGAGCTCAATGCAGGCAGCCAGGTCCATCCCAAAGTCAATGAATTCCCAATCAATTCCTTCCTTCTTGTACTCCTCCTGCTCCAGCACGAACATGTGGTGGTTGAAGAACTGTTGCAGTTTCTCATTAGTGAAGTTGATGCACAGCTGCTCCAAGCTGTTGAACTGCAAATTCAAAATATATAAATAAGCTGGTTAGTATGGAAATGTCATCAATGGGCAAACATACTTACTATAACTCACATCAAAGATCTCAAAGCCAGCAATGTCCAGGACACCAATGAAGAACGTTCTGGGTTGCTTCGTATCCAGCTGTTGATTGATGCGAATAACCATCCACAGGAACATCTTCTCGTAGACTGATTTAGCCAATGCACCCACTGAATTGTATACCTGTAAGAAACACAAGCAAGGCAGTAATGAAAGTTGACTTCGCTTTGAAGTTGAAATAACTGTCTAAACAAAATGAAAAGCTGATCAGCTGTCTAGGTACCTGTTGTACACTTTGTCCTTTAGTTACATATTCATTCCCGACTTTTACTCTGGGATAGCATAAAGCCTTGAGAAAATCAGCAGAATTCAGACCCATGAGGGAGGCAGCTATGTCAGCCACTAGGATCAGAGACAACAAATGAGGTCAAATGAGATAAAGAAAGGTGTCTTGGTCCTCTAGGATGTTTCTGTTACAAGGAACTCACTTTCTGTGCTACTCCGATGCACCTATTGTTAAGGGAAATTTTCCCTTTAACGTATGTAGTGTCTCAGCTGCAACACACTCCTCTTTCATGCCTGAAGGGTTGCAGCAGTGCTTCATTTCTATGTATTTCTGTCTCCTTGCGGAGCATAAATTCAATCACTGACTTTGTTTAACTTGTAACAAAATGAAAAAATTTAGTTTCTGAAAAGGAAATTAATTCTCAAAGTGTTAGGCACTTTATGGGACAAGGTTGCTAGCTTGTCTCCTGTTGCAGTTCACAAGCAAACTCTGTACTCAACACTACCTTCTGTGCCATCTGGCTCTGCCTGCTCCTCACGCTGCTTCTGCTTGAACTTCATGTTCCCATAGTGCATGACAGCCCCAGTCACCTTATATATCCCCTCCTTCTCATCAGGACTGAAGCCCAGGATGTCCACGGCATTCTGCAGAGGCAACAGGTAAGTCAGGGTAGATCAGACACGCACAAAGGCTGAAGAACACGGTGCTGTAACAGGTACTGTTACATGTGCTGTGATGGGAAGGTAGGGCTTCTCCCCCTGCCTTTTTGCCTCCATGCCTGCACTGAGCTGTGCTTCCCTCACCACAGCTGCTCTGACTGTGGGGCCATCCCTGTACTCACATCCATCGCCAGCAGTTCCTCAGCGTCATTAATACTGGCAACAGTGACTTCTCCTTGGCTCATGTACTGGAAGTCGTAGGGGTTGGTGGAGATACGGAGGAGATCTGCAGATATACAGGGCACCTTTGGTGGCATTGGGCAGGTCATAGTGGAAAGAGGAAGCACTCACTGAGCTAAGCCCAGCACTGCTGGCACTCACCAATGAGCTCCGGCTTCTTGTTGGACATTATCTGATAAAAAATATGATAGCTTCTTTCACTGGACAGCTGAAAAGTGACTCTGGATTTCTCCAGGAGATCTAATCAACAGAGAGATGTCATTAGCCTCTTGGTAAAGCTGAGATCCTTACTGCACAAATTTTGTATCTACTGACTTGCTCTAACTCACAGGTTTCAATATCTGCAGAGGCCAGCTTGCCAGTTCTTCCAAAGTGAATCCGGATGAATTTTCCCTGTCAGGCAGTACAGATCAATCAATTGGTTATAGTGATCAGTGAATGAGACATGTATGAGATGTCTGCATTCCACCAAATCTGCAATAAACTCACAAAGCGCGAGGAGTTGTCGTTCCTCACAGTCTTGGCATTGCCAAAGGCCTCCAGCAGTGGATTGGCGCTGATGATTTGATCCTCCAGAGTTCCCTAGTTACAAGAGAAAAAGCTTATCAAACTTCACTACTGGTTAAAAACAAATATTACAAAGAAGATAATACGTGCAGACAATTTTTGCACTTCCTAGGTGATTTTTAACCGAAACTTTATCAGAGTTTTTAAGCACTTATGAGCCATCACTCGTGAATATTGCCATTGGTTTCAAAATGGAGAGTTTTTTAGCTGCATGACTGCAGAAGGAATGAACAGCATGTAAACTTTCAGTATTGTATTGTGTCACTCTTGTTAATTGCAAAACTATTGGAGGAAAGAAGCTTCTGTGGCATTATGTCTCTCCTTTTCCTTGCAATATGTTCCAGGAAGTAGAGTCACCCTATGCTCTTATGTCAGGGTGTGCAAGTGTTGCCAGGGATAATTTCCAAGACAAGAGATAGAAAAAAAAAAGAATGACGACAATCATTTTTTATTCAGGTGACAGACGAGCAGCACAGCTCGAGTTCCTGCATCTTTGTATGTGGTGGTGTTCAGTGCAGTGTTTCTCAACTTTCAATAGCGAGGGAGTGCCGTTCCCAACACTGTCTGCAGATGGCACAATGGGCTTAAATTAGTTTTTGTTAGTCCACCATGAAGGTGGACTCTAATTAAGGCAATATAGAAGCATATGAAGCTCTTGCTATCTCTTTTTGGTTTTGTTTTTTTTTTGTTTTTTTTTTTTCTTAATTAAGGCAACACAGTATTAGATTAAGCTCCATGTGTGTGCATATATAGATTTTTTTTAATAAAAAATCCCAAATCCCTGCAGCAATGCCCTCTCACATATATCTTTCAGCTTTCTAAAGGAAATTCTTCTTCTCTGTTTATGAGAAGAGATGTGTGTATCAGTGTAGCTGATTGCACCAACACCAAACCTCTTTTTAGTGCACAGCTGTGACCAGGGAACTCCCAAGGGAGCATTGTGCATGGAGAACAGCATGGAAGAAGACGTGGCAATTCTTTACACAAGTTCATTCTGGAGCCCTTTCTATAGGCTGGGTGACAAAGTGCTGGAGGCTGAGGCGGTATTCTGGAGAAATGCTGTTACATGTTTTCTTTATTCATACACTCTTGCCTGGCATCTATCTGATTGCAGCTTGCATCTGAGGTAGGATGCTGGGCTAGATATAACTATGACCTGACTGTTTTATTTAATGTTCTTATGAAGAGGCACATACTACTGTTACAGATTGTGAATACTATAAAATAGTAGGCAGAATAAGTTGTTATCCATCTGAGAGCCAGGTGAATTTCCTTATATCAAACACAGTCACTACATGTCTCAGCTGTCTCTAAGTTCTGCAATCAGTGCTGGCATAGTGAGCAGCTGGTGAAAGCTGAACCCAGGATATTCTTAAATGCTACTGATGGAAAGAGGGCTTATGATGAACCTGACTTGGCCATAACAGCCCATCAATCACAGACACCTGCCTCTAAGTGTGGAAAGTATATTCAGCCTTGGAATCTCCTTACGTTCCACTGTGCCCTTGGGTACTCAGATAACACACTGACACGTGTCACCCACTTTGATGCACATACCATCTCAAAGACTGTGGTGACACACACTTGTGCTGCAAGGATGTTTGTTGCTTGCTCTGTTCTAGGGAATGAAACCGATGCCTTGTGAATACACCAGTGGGCTCAGATTGTGGCAGCTGGGCTGCTCAGCAGAAAGGGGGATCAGGGTATATGCTTTCTTCCCTGGAAGGATCCTTTATGATATTACATTTCTACTGTCAGGAATGTGGTCCCAGCTGTCCAAAATCTGTCCCTTTTCTTACGCCTCCACTAAGGGCTGTTACTTTGACCACAGGCAGGAGAACAAGCCAGTGGGAACTACTACCTGATGCAATTGAAATGACTCTTAACTTCCATATAAGCACTCTGGAGTCCAGAGTTACTGCACTTCCCTTGTCAATAGGAGTCAAACCAAGGAACAGGAATGGCAGTCATGTGCCACTGGGAACCAGCTGCTCTCTTTACACTTGCAGCCACTCAGGTGCTGTGGATGTGGCTGAACTTGTAGGGAACTGATGAACAGATACATAGACAGTGCAGAGAAAACTGCTGTCTTACATTGTCTTCTCTCCCTAGTGAAGACTTCTGTGGAAATGAAGGCTGGAGAAAAACTGAGGTTTGCAGCTTTCCTGCATTAAGAAAATGCTCCTTTAAGTAGAGTTCCACTAGCGTGCAGAGGGATGGAGGCCAGGTAGCACGGGTAAATGGGCGTAGGTGTGCTTGGACTGTGCATCCTGACTGTCTCCTCAGCAGTGCTACACTTTCTACCTGTTTATAGTTCTGCAACCCAAAAAGATGCATTGATAGCTTCTGCTCTGCAGGCACAGTCTTGACCAAACTCGAAAAGGGGAAAGAATAGACATACCTGCAGTTTGCCACTCTTTTCTTCTTTTTTTTTGTCACCACTGACTGCAATTGTTGCAAAGTACTGGATGACTCGCTTCGTGTTCACAGTTTTCCCTGCTCCGGATTCTCCGCTGTTGAAATGAAAGTATTAATTGTTACAGTAAACAGAAAATAGGAAGCATCTTTACTTCTCTGTCAGCTTTGCAACATGTAATGAAACATACTCACGTGATAAGGATTGACTGGTTGCAAGAATCTGAAAACAAAGTACCAGAAAGAGATGTTGAAATGAGAAGTGGAGGGCTTCTGTTCCTAAGACATAACTGACTGACTTCAAGGAAAATAACTGTATTGTCACTGAATTTATCACTTTGTAACCAGAGAAGATAAACTCTGCATTAGTCTGCATGTGGATTTTTTTTTTTTTTTATTTTTTGCAAGAGGAATGGTTCTTTACAAGGCTTCCTACTTACTATTTGTTTTCTTTCGTGTATAGACCTTGGCTTAGACATTTTTAATCAGAATCAGATTCTCTGCTGTGTTGCTTCTTTACTGTTTCTTTAAATTCCTCACTAGGAGAGGAGGCACAAGCCATACAACTGGCTACTGCCTTTCCAGAGAGCACAGAGGTCATTAAGATGCCACAAGCATTCTTATCTTGAGTTGTTCCATAAGACTTCACTCTGCCTTGGTGAGGCTGCATCTAGAGCTCTGGGCTTCCCAGTTCAAGAAAGACAAAGAAATACTGGAGAGGGTCCAGTGATTCCTAATCAAAGATGATTAGGGAACTGGAGCATCTCTCTTATGAGGAAAGGCTGAGAGCTGGGCCTGTTTAGCCTGGAGAAGAAATGACTGAGAGGGGATCTTATCAGTGTATACAAACATTTTAAGGGTGGGTGTCAAGAGGATGGTACCAGACTCTTGCCCAGTGATAGGATAAGGGGCAGCAGGCACAGACTGAAACACTGGATGTTCCATCTGAATATGAGGAAGAACTTCTTTACCTTGAGGGTGACAAAGCACTGTAACAGGCTGCACAGAGAGGTTGTAGAGCTTCCTTCTCTGCGGATATTCAAAACCCACCTAGACATGAACCCATGCCACCTGCTTTAGGTGAATCTGCGTAACAGGGGGGTTGACTAGATGATCTCCAGAGGTCCCTACCAACCTCAGCCAGTCTGTGATTCTGTGACTCTGTGACTATAGGAGCTGTTGCCATACAGCCACTGAGTAGAACAGCACTTAAGATGCCTGAACTGTCAAGTGTTTCTTGACCAAGCAGTCAGCCCTGTGTATATCAGTATTTTCCTATTCTTGCCAAATGACTCACCAATCAGCATGGACTGATAGGCATTATCAGAGATGGAAAAGATGTGTGGAGGGGCCTCCTGGCGCTTCTTGCCTCGGTAGCCAGCCACCACCTGCGGGCTGTACACCGGCAGCCACTTGTAGGGGTTGACGGTGACACAGAAGAGACCCGAGTAGGTCTGTGAGGAAGGGAGACAGCACATTGGCTTCCACTTAGCCTGGCAGAGCAGTTCCTGCCAGCTACCCAGAGGAAGACTGCTGCTGGTACTTACATAGATCATCCAGGCTGCGTAACGCTCTTTGAGGTTGTACAGCACTGCAGGTTCATGGAGGTGGGTCATCATGGCCATGTCCTCAATTTTATCATACTTGGGAGGGTTCATGGGAAAGACTTGGTCATCTGTTACAGTCACGGTCTGACAAAAGCAGAAGGGAACAACAAGAGAAGAAATCTAAGTGAGGGAACTGCCTGAACTGGATGGTCATGTATGAGTAGCCACTGGTATCACTTACTGTATCATCATATGTTTTAACTGTGACTTTGCCTTCTTCTCTACTCTGTATGGTAGCTTTCACATACATTTGCTTTTCATCCACTATAAAACAGGCTGTCTTAGCATCAAATGGGCGGTTCTGGGCTTCAATTCTCTCCTTCTCAGTCTTACGTAAATAGGGAGCAGCTTCTCCGAAGACTGCCATCTCTGCATCGGAACTCATGGCTGGAGTTGCTCTAGAGGAATTCAGAAAAGTTTCAGAGAGCCTGTGCCTTTGTAATTTATGTTTATCCAGAAAATGTGCATGTTCAATGACTAAAAGGAAGAAGACTGATCAACATCAAGCACTTCTACCTTAATTTTAAGTATCTGAAGAAGTCCTAATACAGAAAGTTCCTTTTGTAGACAGAGGTGTATTGCCTTTGAAGGCATCCCTCTTAAATGGGGTGCCTGTGTGCCCAAGTGAAGGCAGAGAGAATATCAAGCTAGAAGTCTTTCAAAGCCTCTCCTGCTGTATCTTCGCCTGCTATTCACACGGCTGCACAGTCATATACTTCTCAAAGTCACATACACTAACCGCTTAGATTGTTTATTTCATTAGATATCTAAAAATCTAGACAAAAATAAGATCTGTAAGTTAAGCAGATTCACTCTTACACATTATTTCTAAGTGGAGGTATTCTTGGCACCCTTCTGTTTTCTAGGTTTTAATATCAAGCAGGGAAAGCTCAACTATTTTCTGTTTGGCACTGGAACAAATTGTGAGGGTCAATTATCATCTGTCTAAAGCCAAATGTGTTTATCATATGAACCAAATAAATATAAAACATCTTTTCAGATGTGTGGCAAAATTAGCTAATAAAGGAATATAATGTATGTTGAAGGTAATCATTAATAGCATAGCATTATCTAGGTAAAAAAGTATCTGATACAATATTTCAAAGAATTTAGATAACAAGGTACCTTTTAGCTTTAACATACTATATAGAGTAATATCAGTTATAAATCATTAAAAGACAATAACTGTATATAAAGATATAGCAGGCATTCAATTAGGGATTTGTTGAGCACAAATATTACAGAAAACTGCTTTATGCTCAGTTTAATGCTACATATAGAATCATAGAATAGTTAGGGTTGGAAAGGACCTTAAGATCATCTAGTTCCAACCCCCCTGTCATAGGCATCAATATCTTGTAAAAATTCAGAATTCTTCTACACAAATAGATGTTATTGGTTGCTACATTCAGGTGGACTGGTGTAGAAAATTCAAGAGCATTTGGAAATAACAGAGGCAGAAATGATGTAAACAGGAATTAGCATTAACAGAATGTTCTTCCCAGGCAAGGTAATATACAGCTTAAAGAATCCATTAAATAACAAAGTCCAAACTCCTGCTACATCATGGGCTGTCTGATACACCGTGGTATTAAAGAAGTTAATGGGACAGAACTGAACAACTCAGATGTATCTTTCCTAGGCATCACAGTACTGACTTAATCAGCATGGAGTGGTTTACATCAAGGAAATGATGAAAGGAATCTGAAGGCATTTGTAATGCTGCTTTTGGACACATTGCTGTAGATGTGCTGATGTCTCTCAGCAAAACCTACTTGCTAGGGGTATGCACCCTGCAGGGCTTAGAGGAGCTGCATCTCTCGAGAGCCTTTAATGCCCAGGAGTTTCAAACCACAGAATCCAGGACCTTTAACTTACTTTGAAATTATTATTCTATGTATACAGAGCCAAGTGGTTTTTTGCCTGTATGATCCTGCCTCTGAGTGGCTCAAGAGAAGCAAATGAAAGAAAGAGAGAAATTATTTCAGTGTCCATAAAAAGGTTAAGCAGAGCATCAGAAAATGCCAATAGGTCATCAGAATATTTCTCAAGAGGCACAGTCTGTTAAACTACCAAATGTCTTCAATAGGAAATAGCGTAAAATTGAGATCTTTACAAATTCATGAACAGAGAATAAGGCATTCTCTGGGAGAATAACTTGTACTTCCATCCTTTTCAGCTCCAATTTCAGTGCGTAATTTTTGTTATTAGGGTGGAAGGCACATATGTGGAGAGTTCCTTCTGTGTCTCTGGTGAACTCTCCCAGTCAATCACTAACCTTCCCCAGAAAGTCTAGAAGGGAATGGTGTGTATTAAGTTCTCTGTGAAGGTGACTTTTTGTACACAAACAAGTACATCTGTCTGTCTATCAGACAGGAGACAAGGTTGTCCTGAAATTTGTTCTGGTTTCAGGATGTGTGTGATAAGCCAAAGTCAGCATATGTTGTTCTAGACCTCACCCCAGAGGAACCTTAAGGCAGGACAAGCTTGGACCCTTCTTGAACTGTATGTTGAGCCTCCTCTCTGACCACAGCCTCAGTTGCAGGATTCCAGCAGTTGTGCATGTGGCAGGGGTTGATTTTAATCACCTGTAAATCCCAGGTTACACCACATAAAGACATTACTGTCACTGTCTCTTGCAATCCTGTTGGCTAAGCTTGAGTATCTGTCACTTCTCTTTCCCAATACGTGGACTATTTCCTACCAAGAACTGTGAATATGCTCATATTGATTAAAATAACATATGTCCTTTGCAGTGAACCTGATTCTGGAACACAGTCTCTTGCCACCTGCCCTTGTCATTGTGTGGCTGAGCATCACTCATTGCTCAGGATTAGCAAAACTACACGTTATTTGTTAAGATCTTACCTTCAGAGAGCCCAGGAGGAAATCTGCTTTCAGTATCTGTGTGGAATGGTTAAAGAAATGACAGAGAGAGTTAAATCAAAACCCATCCATTGTTTTAAGCATATGTTTTATCAAACATTCATACACGTTGTGTAGTCTCCCCAGCAGCTGAATTGTACTCAGCGTTTTACAACTCTTGAGCTAGAACCAAATCCCACAGAAAATCTTGTGCTCCTCCTGACATTGCTATCACCTGCTGAAAACAAATCTAACATCTAGGAAAATATCAGCTGGATTACATATATTTTCCTAGCCAATTTCAGCTGCTTTCAGAGTTAGTTTTCCTGTGCCTTTTGTAGGACTCGGAGGTAGCAAAGTCTGTAGAAGGCCCCTCCAAGGAATGGCATGTCATGGCTCTTCTGTTTGTGCCACTATATCTGAGTGGTTTGGGCCATATAACCTCAACATTGCATGTAAAGCATGACCTGGAAAATTAGAAGTGGGGAATGAGAAGAAAATGCCCCTACATATTCCACCTCTTTGCAAAGCTGTGGAGGTGTCATGGTCAGAGTAGGAAGCAAGCGGATGAGACTTACCTTGAGATGCTGAGGTAACAAAGAATAAAAGTCCTTTCAGCGATGGCTCTTTATATATAATCTTCTGCCCACACAGCATTCAAGCACTCTATTTTTGGTCAATAATATTTTACTCTTCAGTGGTAAACGTGTTGAAGCTCTAATCTCTGTGCTAATTAATCAGAGACAGGATTGGTTTAAAGTTGTATGGAGTCAGCTGCACTGACCTGTTCTTTTCACGTTGCTCTGTGCCAGAATGGAGGAATCCAAAGACAGCTCTGATAATGACAAATAAGGCAACACTTAGCTCCTGACTTCCAAGATGGTTTATTTTATAATTGTGCACAATTATTTCTTTATGGATGATGATTTTAACAGATCCCATTCTATCCTCTCTGTCTATCTACACATGCTGATAGAGAAGGAGGAAGACTAGTAAGGCAGAATTTTTCTCTCATTAAATGTCTTTACACCACTCTATGGGACGACGACAAGCCTGAAGCCAGCCTCAAGCTTGGGACAGACTAAGACAACTGACAGGCTTGCAGTCCTGACCAGTAGGTTTACAATACTCAAGGCCTGCAGGTGTACTCAAGGTCTCAGCCTGCAGCAAGGAGCTTGGTTTCTGTGCCACTGCATTATCCTGCAGAGGATGTCATGGAGCAGGCTGAACGTTGAACCAGAATAACTTTGACTTGTTCTCTAAGAGTATGTGGAAGGAGAATGTCTGCTTCTTTAAAAGTATCTGATTAAGAACCATTTTTTGACACCACAAGGACAGTAAGAAAGAGAACACCATAAACAAGAACATAGCGTGACACATATCTGACTGACAAATGGTAACGGAGGAGGTGATGGGAACCAAACCCGGTCAGCCGCACTACTTGAAGACATGTTGAGAGTGTGAAAAGGAAATGTCAGTTGAGAAACTGAGGTAAAAGGGTGAACCAGAAACATATATACACAGAGACATCAAAAAGAAACAAACCTCACTAGTGACACTAACTGATAGGGTATCAAGACACTACAGGTGCTACTTCCAGGAGGATCAGCCTGAACTTCATGACTGACAAAACTAAGGGAGGTCTCAGACAGGATTGGGGTGGGTGAAGGAGCTGTCAGACCTTTACAAACCCAGAAGGGGACATGCAGGGGAAGGGGAGACAGGAAGGAACAAAAAGAGGTAAACAGAAAAGGGTATAAAAGGGAATGATTGCATGTAAAACAGGTTCAGTCACAGTGAGCTTTTCTGGCTGAGCCCTGCACCTGATCATCAGTCTTTCCTGTCTTCTTCCATCTTCTTATTAAATCTTCTCTTAAGTATATTCTGTCCCCAGCCATGGCCAGGACAGATGTACAGGAAACAATATAAGAACGGAGTTCACATTTAGTGCAGCTTACCCAAAGTGTAAGCCAGCAAAAGCTAATGGTTCAAGGAATCCCTGATTCTGATGTTACACCTTAAGATTAAATTGTTTTTAAAGTATTCAGTCAGTTTTGGCATCCTGTAAGCATTTAGCACTTACAACATCATGTGTCAATAGGTTAATTGCATGAATGAAGAACAACTACTATTTTTTCTGAGCCATCCATCTGAAAAATGAATTAGTAATATGTACGGTGGAACGTTGTTTCCTGTCTACCCTTTCTTCCACTCATGCTTTTATATTCCTTAATAATACCTAATTCAGAAGTGATCCCATTGCTTTTTCCACTGTCGTCCTCCTCTAAGCCCTACCCAGTTCGTTGTTCTGCTTTTGGGGTACATGATCACCACAGCCTTTCCTGACTCATGTAATAGTTTCTCATGTGAAAGATTCTCTTTGTGCTCCATTCCTTTCCTAACAATGTAAACCAACTGATTTTGCTTTTTGAACCATTACCAAGCATAGAAGTTAATGTTTTCTGAGGATTTATATCTGTGTGATCTCTTCTAAGTAGTAAT